CACCTTATCGCCACAGCCCCTCACTCTTCACCCCGGCTGGCTCCCCACGCAGCTGTGGCCATGAAGGCTCCTGTGTTCTCTCACACCTGCCCTCCTGCCCTCCCCCCACCCCCACTCCCTGCTTTCCAGCTCCAGAGTCAGTGCCCAAGACTAGCCCTTCTTCCTCTGCTTGGCAGCCACACCCCAGGCAAAAGAACCCCCATGGGTTCTCAGAAATGGAAGTACACTCACCCAAGAACATTCCACAAAGGGACCCCCAGCCCCTGCTGGATGGGGGGGCTATGGGGGAAGTGGTCTCTGGGCCTAAAGACGAAGCCTCTGATGCCAGACCCGTCGTTGCCTGGTACTGGGTTGTGTCGGGTGTCCAGAGAAGAGAACGCCTCAGAGGGAGGAGAACAACTATCTTAAAGGAAGTGGTGTTTGAATAAGAAGGATGGAAGCAATTTAAACAGTTGGAAAGGATGCGGCCACCACAAGAAGGGGCAAAGACAAGACAAGAGGTGTTTTGGGGGACAGGGACAGAGAGAAGAGAGAAAACACACAATATTGCTTGGGACCTTGGGTTTTACATTGGATTATGTTTTACATACATCCCCCTTTCAGCTGTGAGGGTAGATCCTTGTGGGGGACCTGAGCTTTGGAGGATGGGGCTGACAACATGTATGGAGCGCCTCTTCTTGTCAGATCCTGTGTAGGTCATCTCCCTCAATTCTGCTCTCCCTATTTTGCTGTTCAGCCATGAGGTGGGAGGGAGGAGGACTTGTTTAGTGTCACATCACGGGTCTGTCTAATTTTAAAGTTGTTATTCCAGATGTGTGGTCTTTAGCCGAGATATGGGGTCGTCTTCGATTTGCCCCCTCACTGGCATCCCTGAGGGGCATCTCCCCCAAATTACAGAAGAGGGACCGCGGCCAGTAGCTCCCGGTGTGAGCATCTGCTTGCTATCTCCCCAGAGCACAGGGGTCTGCCTGCCCCACCCACCTTCCAAATCCAGGGGACGGAGGAGGAGCAGAGGTGCAGATTCCAGCCAATGAAGTCGCGATATGCAAATTGTCAAGCCCCTGCCCTATTATGATTGGCTGGCTCTCTCTCTCTCTCTCTCTCTCTCTCTCTCTCTCTCTCTGTTCCTAGTCCCTCCTCTCCAAACTCTAAACTATTCCGGGCGGGTCGTCTCAGCTCCGGACATCTCCGAGAGGGAGGGGGGAAAATGTTCGGGATTCGATCTCCGAACGGTCCCAGCACAGCGTCCACCTCCCCCGCCCCCGCCCGCTCCGGGCTTCCCGCACCCTTTGTCGCCCAGGTGTCGGCTCCAGAGGCCCAGGGCCAGGTCCGCCAGGCAGCGCGGGGATGACGCCCCCATCCTTCCCTTGACCGAGCCTCCCTCTCTCGAACCAGTCCCCTCCCAAGGCCCGTACCTCCCGGGCTGCACATTTAGTCCACGCCTGGGAGGACCGGGGGAGGAGGCTGGAGCGCTTTCTTGCCTTTCCGCGTCTTCCTTATTCAGGGACGAGGAGCTCAAGCAAGCCAGGGTCCTGACTCAGTTTCCCCTTTACACTCTCTCTCCGAAGGAACCCGGAGAGAAGCTGGTGGGTTGGGGAGGGACAGCTGTTTGTCCTTCCTGCCTTGCGGCTCCTCACCTTGTTCCTCTTTCCCCCAATCCAGTTCCCTCCCCTTATTCTAGGGCCGCCCCACACTCTCCTTCGTTCTGAGCCCGGACTACCGGTCACCGCAGCTCTCTCAGCCCTCTCGGCGCTGGAAGGAGCGCGGGGGGCGGCGGCGGGCACCACGGAATGCCCCTTGGCCCCTGCCCGGGAGTTAGGAAGATCCAAGTGGCAGTGGAGGGGCGCCCCTGGCCCGCCGCGGCAGGGGAGCGGCACGCACCTGGCCGGGGCGCACAGG